CTTATGGTCGAAACAAGGTTAGGTTTACATTTTTGAGCACTCAACTCTATGTAAATTAGAATTAATTAGTGAATATATTTTAATAAAGAGAAAATGCTTAGAAAAAATTCGATTCAACTTGCTTCGTAATATATTTTCTTGACTTGTGAATGAAGAAGTTTAAAATTTGTAATCTATAAAAAGGAAATATGCCCTGATTTGCACTTTATAGCCATATAGATGCTTGAATAAAAATGCCAAACTAAGAACAAAATATTTTCCCATGTCTCAGCAGAGAGTATTTTCAAAGCATCAACATAAATGATTATACGTGTAACTTGTTTGAAGACGCATGCAAAAGCTTAACAGTTCCATGCAGTTTCAAAAAAAATCAAAACAAGTAAGAAAGCTATAGTCGAGACTCCTCGACTACGAGATCCCCTGAACCCATCGAGCAATTGATATTTCAATAATAATTCGCACAGACACACGCATACACACACACGCATACAGGTGGTTTTTAATCGATATTAAAATATTGGGATTAGTTATCGATTTTTAGTGATAAACTCGATATGCGCGTGATGTACACGGACCTAGGAAAAAAATTTCAAGTCTCTAGCTCTTATATCTTCTGAGATCGACGCGTTCATACATACGGACGGACGGACAGGGCCAAATCGACTCAGCTTGTCGCCCTGATCAAGAATATATATACTTTGGGGGTATGCCACGCCTCTTTCTGCCTGTTACATACTTTTAACAAAACCATTATACCCAGATTTCCCAATTTCAATGGGTTCAGGGTATAAAAAAAAAATTCCATTAAAGCTGTTGCTAATGGCAGCCAAAAGTGAAATACTGTAAACAGGGCAGTTGCGCACAGTTCGAGACCTCAACCCGCAAAATTCGAGCTGCAGGTGGAAGGCGATTCGCTAATTTGGAATTGCCACAAAGGTATTGCCGCCGTCTGGCTACTGATTGCAATTATTTTCAGTTTGGGATGCTGGCAGCACAGGCAACGGGAGTAACTAGATGCCAGACTAACCAGATTTTCGAGAGAGAGAGAGAGATAGAGAGAGAGAGAGAGAGAGAGAGAGAAAAGAGAAAGAGAGAATTCAACAGAATTCATTACGCCTATTTAATATGATATATAGTCAGATGCAGTCAGCTTTGAAATAAATAGTTCTAAATGTACCATGAAAATAAGAATTAAGTATTATTGATTGACAGAAAAAAATTAACTTATGTGTTACCCTACAAATTTAAAAAACAGATAAGAAATTTTTTTTTGTATTGTATATTTATTTAAGTTACTTTAAATAACAAAATAAACAAATTCATAATGAAAATCAACATTAATATATATACAATATGAAGTACCTTAACCTTCGGTATAAATCGCAATTTAGAAAATTCTTTTCAGCTACAGCTTTTTCTAGCCTCAGCACGTGTTTTGGGCCCAACGCAGATGCTTCCCCGGATATAGAGTTAACACAGCCACGCTTCAGTCAACTGCTGCTGCAACTGGTGTTAACAGGTATTACCGACTAAAGGTGGATAAAAATGGCTGCCTCAACCTCAATACCCAAACCGAACCAAAACCAAAAATGCGCTTCTTCACGCGCATTACAAACGCTTGTATTTGGGGGAGTAGCTACTATGTAGGGTTAGAGCGGTATGCGGCAATTGCACCGTTAATTTGGTGTTGTACACACATGCTCTCTCCCTTTCTCTATGTCTCTCTCGCACACAAACAGTTTTGTTCGGTAGCAGCGTCGCCAAATGAATTCAATTAATTAAATTAGTTCAACTCGCAGCTGCAACCGCTTTTCGCTTGTAACGGGGGCACAGATCGGATAAGGGAAGCGGACGGAGCTAGGTATGGGAAGAGCGAGGGTGCTGGGAGCTTGGGACAGAGGTCGACGCGGCCATTACGCAGCTGAATAAAAATTGTGCGCTGCGGTCAATGCTGTGCGGTGCAGTCGGGGGCCCTGTCGACTCAATTATCGCTTTTATGAATGGGCAGAAAATTTTGCAAAGCGCCAGCGACGCGTCGTCTGCCTTGACGGAACTTTTTGATTATCCTACTGTATTATCGGCATAATGCTTTTAATGACCTGCTTGTAACAGGTAGAGTAATGACAGGTAACTGAACATTATTTAAATCGTTCATCGTTAAAATAAACATCTACTTCCAATCACATGTCTTTACAAATTGCTTATATGCCATGGCACTATTCCAGTATTCCTGATAGATAACTCAGAGCTCTAGATCACCTACATTTAAATTTAAATTAAATAATTCTACATAATGAGTGACAGTAGTTAAAAATATGTTCTATTTATTTTTAATATATTTAATATTTTTATTATTAATATATTTAATACAGTTTCAATCCAGAATTTAAAAAAATATTTTAAAAAACTTAATCAAGAATTTAAATGTTAATATAATAAAGTTTTTCATTCCAGCATTCCAATTAGAAATGCCAAACACAAATTTTAAATAAGACTAGAATAAGGGTATTCCCAAAGCGTCGCTGCAATCTACGTAATTCTGTTAATGTTTCTGACTGCGTATGGCATTTGCGCAATTTGTGCTTCGATTTTTCACTTCGTATAATTACGTTAAGCGCATAATTAAGTTGTCCGACTGCAGGTAATAAATTATGAGCAGGAAAACCCTTTGCCAATATTTTTGAAACCGTTTTCGTATTTTATTTTTAATTTGGCAACCTTTTTGTCAGGCGCAGCTCATTTGATAAAATTGAATTTGATGTGCAAGCGAAATGAAATTAGCAACATTTTTAATATGTTTAATTTCATTTCCAGTAGAACAGAAAAACTCGCCCAACCCCTTTTAAAACGCCAACGATGTATGCTGTAGCCCTTCCTCGTTATATGTAAAATGTCAGCAAAAGAACAGCAACAACAAAAACAATATGGCGACAAAAAATGGGGCTTTGCAGTTGGCGTTCATCCTGCCATGAATTACGGGGCGTCAAACTGTCAAGCACGCTCCCAGTCCAGCGCTTGACAGATGAACTAACGGCCTGGCCACACTAACTGTCTGTGTCAAAGTATGCGTGTGCCTGTGTATATGTGTGGGTGTGCGTTGTTAACTGGCCGCCCACTCCATTTGTGACTATTGCTATTCATAAAAATTGCTCAATTCCGCACGCGTTTGCTATTTTTGTTGCCAGGTTTTGTTTCCCTTTATCATCGCTCCACTGCGACATCGTGAATGACACCAAACATATGCGGGCGCCATGGGCAGCACTCAGTATTCACAATTCAGTGGGTTAAGAGTAACGCACCTCTCCCAGCCCACCTCCGTCGGCTGAGATTTTCATGCAAACAAGTGATATTTTTGTTGACAACTAAAAGCCCCAACAGAGTCAGCAAACAAATAGGCCGAAGCACTAAAACCGGAAATTCATAACGAAGAGCGGGTTACCCATTAAAATCAGAACTCAAATCAGCTGTCTTAAGAGCCTGTATTATGAATCATATATTATTGATTATTATATTTATTGATATTATTATTGAATAATATATTACAATAATAATCTTTGAATTGTTTCATGAACACTTTTTTCAAATATTTTAACATTTTTGTACAACTTCCAAGTTATTTTGAATAAGTGGGCTACCTCCCACCGCCAAATTATGTACTTTCGCGAGCTCGAAAATATGAAATATATTGCCCAGACTCCGATTAAACTTTTGAAATGGGGCACCGCCTTCTCTATTTACATTACTATTCAAGTTATTTGTAAAAAGTTTCGATTTCTCTACAAACAGAGTACTGCCTTACCCACAATTTGTATATTCCCTGCCTACTTGCCTAGCTTACAGGGTAGAAGCATTTACGCTCAACATGCGCTGAAAAAACGCAACGCAGTGCGATCCGATGCGCAGGCAACAAAAACAAATGTGACTTGTGAACGGGTTGAGTGCCAACGAAAGTCCCTTTCCTCTACCACTCCCCACTCTCTTAGCCTACCGCCCTATGTCACTGACAGGCAGCCAAAGTCCCTATCTAAGCCCCAACCCTCTCTCTTGCTGTCTCTCGTCTCTCTGCAAATGGCAGAGTAGCTTAAAAGGCCGCCAGTTGGTTTTTCAAATTATACCTCGAAATTATGCAATTCCATGTGTGTAACTTTGCCTAACAAAAAACATGTTTCGCAATGCTTGCAAAACTGTGCGGCCATAAATAATATTAAGATCAGTTTCGAGTGTTCCAAAAATTAAAAAGGAATAAAAGAGGGCGTTTGCCACATTTGAATTAAATAAACTACAAACGCTGCAGTTTATATAAATTTAATGCAGTTGCTGCACTTGGTAAATAGAATGTATAAGCACATAGAAACCAGTGCAGTCGGGCGCCACTGACTATATCATACCCGCTGTCGGCCAAAAAATAGTGTAGAAAGTATTCACAATCCAATATATTCTGCTTAAGTATGGCCGAAACGGCCATATCTTATCTTATTTATGGATTAGACAATCATTCTGCGTTTTGAAGCTTGCTGATTTGCAAATTCTAAAAGGCTTAGAGTATTGAATTGCTCATATTCTATATGCAATTTTAACTGCTTGTTAAAAATTTTAAGTAACAGCAAACACTCTCTTCAAGTGCGCGTGTAATGCACAGTGCCAGCACGATTGACCAAACGGCCCTTTGGTGTGCCACTCAATCGTTCTTTTATAGGATAAACTTATTATAGGATAAACAGTCCAGCGCAGATAATTTGAAAAGGAAAAGGATCCTTTTTTTGTCGATTTACACACAGTGAGTCGCATGGAAGTCGGCTATGCACGATTCCGCTTCTAAACAAACTTGACCTAAAAATATCCGACGTATATATATTCCTCGTAAACGAGTCTCAAAACTCGGCGTAGTAGGCTTAGTTCATCACATTCGGAAATACTGAAAATACTTAAGAAACAAACGAAATAATTTCTATAATATTTTTTAATAGGACAAAAATATATACTCCGAATCCTAAGCGTTATAAAAGAGAATGGCCAATATTTTACCGTATGAGCCCAATGCGCCGGATCCGAGGCTGGCTAGACTATTGCTGAATCGCTACGTTTTCGCCACCTGGCTCTGCTACCTGACCGAGTATCAACTCTTGACAGTTTTTGTGATCTACCAGCGAATAGAACTCGACAACCCAGTCAACTGGCTGAAGGAGTGGCTGGACCAGATTCTATTTTCCTTTCACACTGTGGCACGCATGCAGGTACTGGGCATCCACATGGTCGCCTACAGCTTGCTACTGGTCCGCCTGCACGAGCAGCTACCCAGTTGCCACAACTGGCGGCGGCAGCGCCTGCAGGAGGAGCTGCTAATTAAGCTCTGTCTGCTGGCAATTCTGATCAGCCAGGGCTACTGGAGCAGCTGGTTTTACCTGAAGTATATAGTCGATCTGAATGCTGACATGGATGTCAGCTTCATCGGGCACTATCTGCGGAGGAACGGCGTCTTTTGTGGGCTCGTCTACTTTCTGACTGAACACTTGCCCTTTGGCAAGGAGGTGTGGCCGCTGCCGCTGATACGACTGGAGAGTGCAACATGGCAGTGGCTGCTCTGCCATCATTTCGATCTAGGTCGTACTCTACCCCGCTCCCTGCTCTACACGATTGGCTTCGCCGCCCTCTTCTGGCCCAACATGAGTGGCGACCATAGTGCCAGCTGCCAGCTGCTCTGCCTATCCAGCTGCATGGTCACGCTGATCACGGTCAAGCTGAATGCCATCAAATGCATCTTTAGCACTGTGATGCACGAGGAACTACCGCTTACTTTTCAGAAGCAGCAGGAGCAGTGGCTATCGCCACAACATACGCAGGATGGAGGACTCCCCATGTGCTTGGCTCTGAGAGTGGATATCCAGCTGCATGGCTTCAGGCTGCAGGCAGCCAGGGACTTTTACATGATCGCGTCCGCGCCCAACGACGAGCTGTGTGAGCTATTCCAACTGCGTGGCATCTTGCACAGAAAGCCCAAAAACTGGAGGGCGTTGCGCAATGTCCTCATGGGCAACATTTCGCAGTTTACGCAGTTGCTGAACGAATGCCTAGCGAGGCCGGCGACTGAAGCGCAGCCTAGGCCTAAGCACCGGAATACGCGCTGCCAGCCCAACGTGCGACACCTTGCGCCACCTGCACCAGCTCCAAATTATTGGAGTAGGCGCTGCGAAAGTGAGGAGCCGGGGCCAGAGCCACAGAAGCCCTCCTTCGTACCTCTTTTTGAGAAACTGGAACAGCAGCTGCGAAACTGTCAACTGTCGAAGCAGGTGCAATGCTTTTACAACTGCTTACCTGTCTATGCCACGCAGCTTATGAGAACGGATAAGGACGACTGCGAGGTGTGCGTGGGCCGGCCTTTGGTATGGTTGATTCCAGGACTCGTCTCTATATGCATACGCTCCTTGACGGAGGACAAACATGGATCGCTGCAGCAGGATCTGGCAATGATCTTCAATGCCCTCATCGGACTGGAAAAGCAGATCGCCAATCTTCTCGCACTGCTGGAACGGCGTCAACAAAAGCCATGCCAAACACTTTGTGTGCTCTCGGAGACGATAAGACTGGCTATGAACAAACTAATCTACCACTTCAACAAGTATCTGAACTTCATTTTAGGGGATGAGCCACTAGTTGACTCTCTAAGAAATCGTAAATAAGTACTTATTCTAATTAGAATTATTTTTACTATTACTGTTTGTTTTTACTTCATGATAGGAAAGAAGATAGCATGGTTTTGAAGATACCGCTTCTTGGAACTAGACTTGATCTTAAGATTTTCAAGTGCTATAACTCATATAGTGCTTATTTAGAATGTCCGTATATATCACACGGATATCGAGTTGATCACTAAAAATGTTTTTTACATTGTATTATGAGACATGGTACATGCATGTGGGCATCTCTTCAGTCTTGAAAACTCTCCAATTATAGTAATACCTATAGTGAGTGCTATACATATGACAAAATGATTCTTTATTTTGACAAATAGTGAATCTGACAGCAATTGAAAAGTAAACTGGGCTCGCAAGCTACAGAAAGTAGTAGTTTTAGTAATGGAAAACTCTCAGTAGAGTCTATTCATATTTGGTCAGTCGAGAGCCCCATCTAGAGGGTAATGCCGGTAGCTTAGGCGTTATGTTCAGTCCGCAGAGGATGCACCTTTTGTTAGACGCCGACGCCTGCACATATGCAACAAGTTTATGCAGCTGCACGCAGGTTGACATTGCGGCTCGGACTCATAAATTTCATCTGGCAGCTCCCAAATCCCGTCATGCTTCCGCCCCAACCAACCCAAGGCCTTGAGAGATAAAAGCTGAAAACTGAAAAAAATCAACTGAACAACAGAGAGCACAAAACGCTGCCACAAGCCGCAAACATGCTGAAAAAAAGAGCCACTGGACATTGCACCAATGTGCGTTGCGGCCGGGTGCGTGGGTAGATGGGGGCGGGGAGTGGAAAGGAGAAGCTCTGCAAGTTCTAAGCACGTGTCAAGTGTGGGCCAAACTTTTAATTTGCACAACGTCCCGACCGGAGCAGCCAGCCCGAAGCCTGACTGACGCTGAGTGACTGTCAGGCTTGTTAGTCCCTTTATAGCCCGGGGTGCGCCTTGCTGTCTGACAATGTCATCAGTTGCAGCTGACGCAGCAGCAGTAGCTGCAGCTACAATGATACCGCCTCCGCCTCCCGCTACAGCACGACCACTACCAATTCTGCCCTCGAGCTACTCCCAGTGGCTATTGCTGCAACAGCTGAAGCTGGGCCAGTTGCAGTTGCAGTTGCTCTCCCTTGTATTATACGAATATACTATCCCAGAAGGGTGCTCGAATACTACTTGTTCAATATAGCTATATCTATGTGTAATTTTTAACTAAATTAAGCCATTACTTAACTTAAAAAGTCAATATCAGGTTAGATAATAGATACATTTGATGAATTATTTGCATGAGAATAATCGTATTGGCTTTTATTTAAATTAATCTGAACTGTACTGAAAAATCAAGTCGTATTAAATGAGAACTTTAACTGTTACTTCAAGCTGAGAGTAAGCAAATGTCGTTGGTATCCGACTTGAAGCGTTTCGCAGAGCAGCGAGGTGCGTCTGTACGTATGTGAGTGCATGTCTGTGTGTGTGTGCCTCAACGGCAGATAAAACGAACTCAGCTCCCACTCTGACACTGTCTCTCCAGTCAGTCGTCAGTCAGTCATTCAGTCAGTCAGTCTACAAATGCGTTGATTCACAGTTGCCTTCGCACCATTCGCACAATTTCATAGCCTACTCATGCGTCATTTGCGCCGGGTGGTGTTAAATCCGTTTGGATTTTTGTTTTGTTGATTGCCGCACGCCTCAATGACATTTCATTTATTATATGGCACTGCCTCCGGTTCTTGTTTGTTTCTCTTTTACTTTCACTATGCATGAATGTATGTGTATTTCGTCAACTCAGCGCGTCCAGCAATTAACTATGCAATACGCTGACCTCACCAGCTGCAACTACAACTCTATTCGAGCACCTGTGATTGTGTCAGAGCCCAGTCCACGGACCAGAAGAATCGAAAGTGCCGCATCATGTTGCTGCTGAGCGACACCTTTGATTTGTTTTGCAAGTTTGTTGTTGTTATATCCGCTACAAAGGAATTTGCATTTCAAATGAATTGCTACGCCCCGGAGAAATATTAAACCAAAGGCAACAAAGAGCGGAAAAAAACAAGTGGAATCACGTTGTAAACTGAACCTGAGCCTGGCCTGCTGAAATATAAATGTTAATCCAGGCAGCGTCGATTGCAGAACGTTCAGCGCTTTTGACAGCATCTACCCGGACAACATCCAGTGTCCAGCGCCCAGCGCCCTTTGCTGCACACAATCCAACGACCAGCCCATTGGCCAGAGCTTGGGCATGGCCGGAATGTCAACGGCTTTTTAATTGATTTTCATTGATTGTGCTGATTGACGCATCAAATGAAGTGACTTCAGGGGTCGAGTTCGGGTACGGGCTTGTTGCTCACAGCTCACAGTCAGCGTCTACTGCTGCAACTGGCCCTGATCCTGCTGCTCCTGACCCTGTTGCCGTATCAGTAGCGGTGCAAACAACACTTTTCCACACACGCACACGCACACACACACGCTCAATGGCTCACACACACAGCAGACATGAATCCGGCAGTAATTAAATTTGTCAGTCACACAAAACGTTGCTGCAGCGCCCAAAGAAGTGGCAAAGTGTACAACGCGCCGTATGCGTGATGCGATTGCATGCAATATCATGAGCATACGTGTGCGACTGTGTTTCTCTGTGTGTGTGAGTGTGGCAAACAATGCCAATCCGCCCCCAAGAGAGCCAGATAAGTAAGCAAGCCATAAGTGCAAGTTAATAGCAGGTTGAGATATGGATATATCGTACACTCAAGGAAATATTGCGTTATACTTTATAATAGTTATATATACAATTTAGCAATGTTTGTAATGCAGAGATATATGAGAATATTTTTCTTCTGTTCTATTAAATAATATAATTTATATTTATAGACACTATATGACAATCACAACTTTATGCATTAAATAAAAAAAGTAAATATACTTTATATCCATAATTGAATGCTCCATTCATAATAGGTTTTAGAAATTTACAAAAAATTAGTATTACATTTTTTATTATATACATACTTATATGTATACTTAATTATTACATATGCATATGTAGCTATTACTTACTCGACGTTGATATTTAACTTGTTTTGTATCGTAAATCAACCTACTATACGATAATATATACCCGCCACAATCGACATACCCCAACGATATATTTCCAGGGGTATATCGAAGCAAATATGAGACAGCGTCCGAATTGAATACTGGCTAACAGATTGTTGTTATTGAACTTTAATTATTGCATTCTCTATTCGTCCCATTTTGCTGCTATTACTCCCACTGTAAGTTAATATGGATACAGTCAAACACCCAAAATACACACAGACAGACAGAGCCAGACAGCGGCTGATAGACAAACAGCTGCACATGCGTCGCTAATGAGCCGCTTTTTAGCACTGGCATCCACTTGGCTGAAATTCGCTTTATGGCCAGGTGCTCCAGTAAGGGTCCATTTGCCCACTCGCTCACTCGGTGGAGATAGCAAACGAGGAAGCGCGTCCAAATATTGCACAATGCTGAAGCCGAAAAATTTGAAATCGGAGACGCAATTTAAAAATCATTAGAAAAACACATTAAGCGTAAAAAATTAATGAGCAGCTTGTGTCAACAGAAGTTCAAGGCAGCCAGCATTAAGCCAGGATATTAGGACATGAGCCAAAATACCTTCAGCTGTGTATTTTATACATACCTCTCTTGGTACGTGTGTGTGTGTGTTTCTCTATGACGCAGAGGCAGTGCAACTAAGGTGCAGCAGAGCGTCTTAGACATTGGATCCTATGCTTAGATTAAACTGAATTGCAAAACAAAAAGTAAGAACGTTGTGATCGGGCGTTACCGACTGCAGAATACTCATTCACATAAGTAAATATACTTTATATCCATAATTGAATGCTCCATTCATAATAGGTTTTAGAAATTTACAAAAAATTAGTATTACATTTTTTATTATATACATACTTATATGTATACTTAATTATTACATATACATATGTAGCTATTACTTACTCGACGTTGATATTTAACTTGTTTTGTATCATAAATCAACCTACTATATGATAATATATACCCGCCACAATCGACATACCCCATCGATATATTTCAAGGGGTATATCGAAGCAAATATGAGACAGCGTCCGAATTGAATACTGGCTAACAGATTGTTGTTATTGAACTTTACCATCAGCAATTTAGTAGCTAAGTTTAGTTCTAATACTGTAGATATTTCAATTCATAGGACAAATTAACAGTATACCAATTTGAATGCTATATCGACTCAGATCGTCGTCCTGATCAAGAATATATATACTTTATGGGGTCTGCGATGATTCCTTCTGCCCGTTACATACTTTTACACAAAACCATTACACCCTGATTTCCCATTTTCAATGGGTTCAGGGTATAAAAAGAAAAGCCGAAAAAGGAAATAGGTAAAAAAGGAAACTCGTAATAAACGGCAGATGCACCCATCATAGGATGACGACTTCAATGGAGTCGCCGTTGTATTTGAGGCACGCTAATAGGGCTCAATATGGAATATACCACAGCGGAAGGCATGGGCTTACCATAGAAATCCATTGTTGAGGGGGGATGACAAAGTCATCAAAATAGTAAGAAATATATTTTAATTTAATCATTTTTTTTTTTTAATTGTTGAATTTCATGAAATATGCAAAATTATATTTTATTCCATTAAACAATAATTACATGAAATATTGATTGATTATGAAATAAATAGAAATCATCTGAATATATGTTTAAAATTTGAATACTCTAGTTTAAAAGGTGTAGCTGATATAATTAGATTACTGATTTTCGATACAGTTGTTTATCGATAAAAATAAAAGGATGAGTTATCGTTTTTTCGAGATAAATATCGGCGCTGTACACACGGACATTCTAAAAATAGTTCAAGTCTTTAACTCTTATTTCGTAACGCCTTCAAACATACGGACAGACAGACGGACAGGGCTAAATCGACTCAGCTCGTCGCCTTGTTAATTAAATTAACAT